ATTATAATAGTTTACTCTAAAAATAGTAGTTAACACAGATAATATCTCTCATGAACCCATGGGTTCACAAAATTATGTGATATCATTTATTTCAACAATTTCACCAGAATTAATAAATTATTATTAATTCGGTGACTAATTCCTGCTACTGGAAATATTGCTAATAAATTTTATTTTATTTTATTCTATTTTGATTCTATCTTAGATATTAAATATTGTACAGAGATTTCAGTTCTAATTTCGTAGCTATGGTATACAATTAATTTGTAACTCTGATATAAACAATTTGGTAGTTTTTATTATCTTAAAAGAAAATTATTTACACTATACTGGTAGTCCTGGCCGGCAATATAAACAGAAATTACATTTTTGATATCTTCATGAATAATGCATTAGAAACAAACATTTCGAATAGATAATAACAAAGCCATATGTTATATGAATAGCTTTATATATTAAACCTAATCTGGAATTAATTAGTACTGTATATTCTTGTAATTTTATCAAATAAAACATTATATAAAGATCTGCTCTCACACTATTTCAATTTTTTTCAAAATTCTTTGTAAATGAAAAAACAATTAAATATTGTTTGGAGCATAGCGGATGATGCAGTTTTCATACAAAATAGTCATTTTTGATGTGTTTTTAATAAAAATATCAAAATTGTAATTTTGAAAATTTCATAGAGCATCATTACACAATACAATATGATAGACAAAATTTTTGAAGTTACGTTTATGATATTTTTATTAAAAAATATCAAAAATAACCATTTTGTATGAAAACTGTGTCCTCCACTATGCTCCAAACAATGATAATAAAAGAAAAAAGGCTCTATAACTTTAAAGAGCATGTTTTCGACAAATATAAAGTTATTTGTATAGGTTTGCTTGTTTAAGAGTTAGGCTATTCAAAGTTGATTATTAGTTTAACGTCAATATTTTTGGCTCAGACACGAGGAGGGAGGGAAAAATTTAAACAAACATATATATTCCCAAAATATTTAATCAAATCTCATTGGTCAATCTTAATCACATAATTAATGAAGTTTATGCTATGCTGTGATTGGCTTGTTTAATTTCCGGAGGAACAGTTAACTGAGAGGGGGGATAACATTAACCTAATAATCAACTTTGAACAGCCTTATTACAAATTAAATTTTATATGTTCCTACTATATACACTACCATTAATTATAAAAAATTGATTAATAATCATCACTATACCACCTGCACTATATTTGTAATTAGACTTGTATTGGACACCCCAATATTCCATGTTTAGTCAAAATTTAATAATATAAGTAGTGTAATTCGTGACTAAGTTCTCATGAATTTAAGTGAATTGGCATTCCTAATTTTTAAAGTGGAAAATTTATATAGTATAAATCATATACAAACTTTTATATAAAGGGAAAACTGTAAAATTTTTAAGTTTAAAAAGAAACATTTTTCTGGGTTAATTTTACTATAATGCAGGCCAAAATTTATATTTTTTGCATCAATATTAGACTCTCTCAAAATAATATACAAGTGCATTAATGTTATTTATAAGAAGCATCAATTTTTTTTTTTCTAAAATTATGCTACCAGCTAACAAAAAGTTTTTTTTGAGCGATTTTACTCTATAGTTTCCTAAATGCAAACTTTAATATATACACAAACCCAAACATAAGCAAACTTAAAACTTTGTCATTGGCTATTTGAGGGTGATGGTGATACACTCTAAGATCACATGATTGAAAGTCACGAGTTTGACAATGAATATGGCTAAAGTGTAGATTAAAGCTTGAATATGAAACACAGAAATTTTTACTAAGATTCATAATGATAGTTATCTAGCAATTTTTCGTGGTTAGCTTATAAAAATTTATTTTTCTTTGAAGACATCAGTGTTAACCACATTATTAGTTAATTAATTATATACAGAAATCGCATGATGCGAGCTAACAATCATTCTTTTCTAGTTTAAAAGATTTATAATCTATATTGATATTATATAAGATATTCATTGAACCATGATCCAAACCCATATACAAACCTAATATAAATTACAGTATAATATATTTTATTAATTTAAATAAATAATTATAATTTAGAATTTTATTTTTTATATATTAAACCTAACTAAAATCAGTTTTGATATATAAAAAATAAACCAGATTTCAAACTCTAGTCTAGTATAATTTACCATTTAAAAAAAGCAAATAATAATCCACTAATCGATTTATTATTTTTGTAACCAACTTTCAACAATTCAATATCTTTATTTTTTCTATTAATCTTTAATACTGGTGAAATTGGAGGATTATGCATTTGAAGGAAATTCAAAACTATACATGTTCAAGTATATGATGATAGAGTTCTGCAAGCTACAATAATGAATATAATTACACATTAAAAGATTTAAAACTTTAAATAATTGTTATAATCAATAGAATACCAGCATTGTTTAATTTTCAAATTCATGCCCAATGTTTTATTGTCATTACTAACAGACAAGCTCTTGGATCTAAATTTACATATGACTTTATTACCTTGTATTAAGTAAGGCCTAAGTATTATTAATATTGATATCACATGCTAAATTACTATAAATATTTTATAGTCCTTTGTTGTCACATGGATATAGTCAATCACCATTCAAGATAATCTTAGTGTTAGGTACAATAGTTACGATCAGGTGAAATATCACACTATCACTTAAAAAAATGGAATCAGAATATTTTGTATACACAAATTTTTATGATATAAATATTCTAGACTGGCTAATTTCTCAAAAGAAATTTCCTGGAAACCACCATTCACCTCAAGATGCTATTAATACTTTTAAAAAAACTATTTCATCCCTTTACAAGAGTGAACATGA